GGTACGTGGTGTTCTGAACAATGAGATAACCTCATTACCAACTGGTGTGTTTGCAAGTTGTTGTGCCTAAGGTTTGTTGTTACAAGGCAAAGTGATATTAACAAGAGCACATAGTACTGATAGTAGGTTTTTTTTTGGTGTAAGCCAGGCACAGTCACATTGCTGCCATCAGTTAATGCCCCAGTTGCAAATGGAGGCTAGGCACCCTGGGGGCTTAGGGTCTGCTACCCCAAGGCACTAGAATACCTGACTTTGGATCAGAGTAGTTTAGAGAAGGATTGTTGTTGCTTGAAGTGACTGATGTTTTTACAATCTGAAAGAAACTGATCATCAGAGTTAATTTACCAGATTCTTGGTGGGATGTGAAAGTGGCAGTCACTGATACAGAAATGAAAACTAGTCCTTTTCAGGACTACTCACATTGCAGTGTAGTGTCCTAAGAAATATTTTTCAATCTTTCATGATACTGCACTCCTGATTTAAGTGAGTCCAGATGAAACTTTCAAGCAATAATTTCATAAGCGTTTTGGCAGTTTCTTTCCTCAAATTATTTTATGTCACATCCTGAACTGCATTAATTTGTTTTTGTTTTTATCCCATAGTGTAAAGATAAGTTGACAGAGAGACAAAAGTTAGAAGCTAAGGATGCTAAGGTGAGACATCCATACCAGTAATTTCCAAGTTTGGGAAGTGCTTTTCCAATCTAATTTATTCAGCCCTTTAGTGTTAACTGCCTAGTGGGAGCACTGCCATAAAATCTTAATTTTTCTCATCTTAAGGGGAAAAGGAAATTGTGTGAAACTATTTGGAGATTTGAAACATTTATAGGAAGGGAAGTCTATTTTGGTTTAAATTACTTGGAGTTTTGGGAAAAGGATTTAGAAGTCAGATTATTCTGTGTACAAGCAAGAAGAGTGAGTGGAAGATGAACTGCTCATATTAAAAGTGAGGTGGGCACTGTGCAGTCCAAAGCAAAGCAAAGGGGTAAAACTTGAAAGAGCAGAGAAGAAATCCCGTCCAGTTGCAGCCTTGAAGCTTGCAATCATAGACCTTTAGAATTTGTGTTTGGGCAATAAATCTGCTGAAAAAAAATTGATCTGTAACTTACAGTACCGACCCCTAACTTGGTATGTAAGAGATATGTTTCTGCTGTTGCAATATTATAACTGATG